GTCTAATCTGAGGTAAGCATTCTTAGCTTGAAGGACAGAAAACAATACCTGTGGTGAAGGCGGAGAGGAGAAGAGCTGTGGGTGATAAGAGGAAGGAAATGGTGTTTTCCAGTAATGCTCATCAAGGAGAACTTTGTAGAGGAGGTATCCTGGGAAAGGACACTGAAATGTGTTGCTTTGGACCCAGTTGAGAAAATAGGTACTAAGAGGAGGTGCCATCATGAGGAAAGGTGCAGATGACACATCATATGACTCAGTTTGGCTGTTAACACTATGCTGATTCATTTAGATTTCATTCTACGGGTCAATAAACTGTGGTTCAGCCCATTGCCTATTTTTTTTTTTTTTTTGATTAGAGCTGTATAGTTGGTTTCATCCTGACAAACTCACACGTGCATGGAAATCGATTTCAGTTCATAATTCTCCCCTTTCCTTCCCAGCTACTTTGCCCTCTCCCATTCTCCTTTCTCTGTTCTACTAGACTTCCTTTGGCTTGTCTTTTAATTGATATTTATTATCCTTATCTTCTCTTTTATTCTAGCTTCTGCATAAGAGAGGAAACATCTGACTTTTTTTTTTTTTTGAGAGAGAGAGAATTTTAATATATATATTTTTTTTAGTTTTCAGCGGACACAACATCTTTGTTTGTATGTGGTGTTGAGGATCGAACCCGGGCCGTATGCATGCCAGGGGAGCGCTATACCGCTTGAGCCACATCCCCAGCCCAACATCTGACTTTTAAGTTTCTGAGTTTGGCTAATTTCTCTTAAGCATGATATTCTCCATTTCTATCCATTTACCAGGAAATGCCACAATTTCATTCTTTTTTATGGTTGAATAGAACTCAGCCATATGTTTATATATATTTATACACACACACATACACACACACACCACAATTTATTAATCCATTCATCTATTGACAGGCATCTGGGTTCATTCCATAATCTAGCTATTGTGAATTGTGCTGCTACAAATATTGATGTGGCTCTATTGCTGTAGAATGCCAATTTTAGATCTTTTGGGAAAACACCCAGGAGTGGGATAGCTGGGTCGTATGGTGGTTCCATTCCTAGTGTTTTGAGGAATCTCCACCCTGCTTTCCAGAGTGGGTGTATTAGTGTGCAGGCCTCCCAACAACATACAAGGGTTCCTTTCTCCCCCACAACCTTGCCAGCATTTGTTGTTGTTTGTATTTTTGATCATTGTCATTCTGACGGGAGTGAGATGAAATCTCAGTGCCGTTTTTCCTTGCATTTCCCTGATTTCTAGAGATGTTGAACATTATTTCATATATTTGTTGGCCATTTGTGTTTATTCTTTTAAGAAGTTCTATGTTCAGTTCTTTTGTGCATTTGTTCATTGAGTTATTGGTGTGGGGGGGTTAAGTTTGTTGGATTCTTGGTATATTCTGAATATTAATCCATTGCCTGCTTTGTAGAGCAGTGTTCTGGGAACCCAGCCCTGCTTGTTCATTTACATACAGTCTGTGGCCGCTCTTGCACCACAGAGGCAGGGTTACCATGTTTGACGGAGACCATGTGGCCTTCAGAGCTAAACTATTTTCTGTAAAAGGTGAGAGATGGAGTGAATATTTGCTGACTCCTGCTTTAGATCATAGTTGAAAAGCACTGATTGGGTCTGGGGACGGGCACTGTGAAGAGATGTCAGACAGTCCTAATTAGAAGTGGGTGATGTGGAGATGGGTGATGTGGCAACCCATAGGATGTCTTAATGAGTCTAGGCCAGTGCCTTCTAGTGATGCTGTAGAGGATCTGAATGCTAAACAGATTAAGGAGATGGAATCACTAGTGTTTGGCAGAAGATTTAATGACAGGCTGTGAGAGGGAGGAGTCAAGGCTACATGAACGTTTTCAGTCTGGGAATCGAGTGGCTGATGGGACCATAGAACCAGGGAACACAGAAGGGCAAACACGTGTCAGTCTCAATGACCTGTTGGAGATGGGGCTCTGACATGTCTGGTACAGGACTCAATATGACCACGTAATGTGGAATCTATGGCTTTTGCAGGACTCAGGAATATTTACCATAGTTAACTGTGGAAAGTTTTATTTTATTCTTCATATTTAAGTGGCCTGAGTTCCTATGAGAATTATTTTTATGACCTTTGTGCATTCTTTGTTGAAAACAAAATTTGAGTTTTTGTGGCCAAAATGATTTTAAGTAGAAAAACTTTCTTGCCCTTTGAGAAGTCTTAAATAGATTCCAAAAAAATGTTTCTAAAGTACTCAAACACAAAGGAACAGTGCTACTAGATTGAAAGGGGAAAAATTTCAACAACTTTATATTTTTATACAATCAAAATTTACTTGAATTATATGAAAATAATTTTCCCTTCACTGTTTTCTTTAAAATAATTGCATGTTTTAAATGAATTCATGCTTATGAATTAATTATTCAGGTGAAAATTGCCACAACTCCTCCATGACAGAATGTTGACCTTTATAGTTGCCATACAGTGTGTATAGGTCTGTACTGTTCACTGGGATTTCAAAGATTTAGTATTCACTTTCCAAAATTGCATTTATAGCGTTTAAATAAGTGATGCTACCTGAAAAATTTCTGAATTAATCTGGCGTAAGCCTTTGATCATAAGATTCTCTAAGCATACCTGCTCCACCTTATTTCCAAAAAATAGATTGGGTTCCTCTTTTCTTTGGAGGTCTATGGCAGTTTCTATCTCAGAGAGACAGCACTCACAACCCAAATAAGAACTACTCTTATGTCTTAATATTCAATATTTAAAAGAATTATCAACAGCTAGAAGTTTGAAGGAAAGTACCTGTATTTACAAACACAGAACTGAAGAAATCCGTTGTGCTTAGAAGAAAAAGAGAAGAAATTTGTTATTTTCTTTTTAAAGTCAAATTAATTCAGTTGTTGTTATTGTTTTTTAATAAATAGGAATGGAATAGTTGTTTTGAGGTTTTAATCAGAACAACTTTATATTTTAAAAAATACCTACCTCTGGATAAAAATTAAATTATTTTAACTTTCAGATTGGCATAAACTTAAAAATGAGGTATCTTCTGCCTCTCCTGTGATAGGAGCCTTCTTTTTTAGTTAATAATGGTTTTAGTTTTGGATAACATTGATGCTTACAACTTCCAGGGTTTGTTGTTAGTTTTTAATCTCTTTTTACAAGTGATTGATGAGATCGATACTACTTCTGCTCCATTTTATAAATAAAGGAACTAAATCATAGGGAGATCCAATAAATTGTCCATGATTACTCTTGGAGCAAGTGGTAACACTGGCTTTAGAGACTCAACTGGCAGACTTCAAACTGTGTGCTGTGAGTGATGTTGTGATAAGGCTATTTAATACGTACTTTCTTGCTTGTTGATCCTGGAAGGAAAAAAAAAAGTATGTACCACTATATATATGTGTATATCTATCTGTTTCTACATACTCATATGTAGATATTTTAATTTTGAAATGATGATTTTCATAGCTAAAGTAAAAACAAATGATAAATTTTATTCCTCCAGAACAGTTTGAAATAAAAAGAAATAATCTGTACCTCTGATCCCAATGCTGTTATTATTTTAAAAATTACATAAATGAAGCAGCAAAACAACAAAATTTAGTTGTACATTCTCTACATTTTTAACTCCCTTTCTGGCTTTTTCTCTTTTTCTTTTTTCCTAGAGTGAGAATTGAATATATAGTGAGGGTGTATAGGTCAGGGTATTTTTTGCACTTATGAACTCTGGCTCTCCACAAAGAGGGGAGGGCAGCAAGTTGAAGCAAGCAACTTCCTTTTTAAAACAAAGGACCTGAGACTGTCTATCCAAGTTTTACCTGTATTCCCTTGAACTAAATAGGTCATGAGGCCACATGGAGCTTCACTGTAGCTTCTAAGCAGGATGGTCATATGTCTTACATTTGGTGGATTCCACTATTAAAACATGGGCCTGAGAATGTATAATGGAGGTCATTTGGCATCTCTGCTACAAGTTTAAATAATAAGTAAAAATTTCCAATACTCTCGCTAATGTGTTTAATTTTTTTTTTATCCAAGAGATAAACAATAGTGTGTTTTATTTTGATAGAATTATTCATATGTAATGTTATAATTTACTAAGTATTATGTCATGCCCAACTGTTAGCAAAGCATATTAGCTAGCTCCTTGAGAATGAATCCATCTGTAATATTGACTCTGAGGAAGACCTTGAGCTGGATTTGAGAGCATTTGTTCCCTTGGATTGCTTGCCACCTGGGATAAGTCATTAAATTATTATCTTTGAAAATGTGTGGCCTTGTGATACACTGATATTAAAAAAAATGCAAAGGTTTTGAGGTTGTAGTGAATAGGGAACATACCACAGAGCAAAAATATTTTAGACAATGGCTTTTACATTGATCGTTGTGATTCTTTGAATAAATGATGAGAAATAAATCCATTCATAAATAAAAGTTAAATTATATTATCTATTACCACATTTTTTCAGATTTATTGAGCTGTAAAAAATATGCTGGTCAGAACAATTTTTTTAAGATTGCAGTATATATAATAACTGAAATATTAAGTGTATATTCATGATATTTATTCATAAATGATAGTGGATTAGTACAAATTGAATTGAAATATTAGGTAGTTAAAGTAGCAATGTTGTTAAAAGATTATGTCTGTATTATTAATTTAGACAACATGTAATAATTTATAACATTTCAATACCATTTTAGAGCTTTTTATTTTGGTGGTGATTATTAAATAATATCAAGACTATCACTGCAAAAAAACTGTCTTTTATTTGAAATTCTATTTGGCTAATATATAGTAAACACTAAAATTCAATACAATCCATGTAGTTTAAGTCTGGGGAAATTTTTTGATGTGCTCTGTAAATAGCTGGTTAATTAATCTTGTGTTGGATTCTAAATCCTGATTTTTATTAAGGACCTTTTCTTGGTGTTTATATACCTAAATTCCAGCATATGTATTTTAAAACTCATTTTTTCTTTCATTGAATAGCTTTGATGTTTTATTTGCTGGTGGTCCAGAAGAAGTTCTAAAAAAGTTTCAAAAGACAAACCACAAAGTAGTCTTTGCAGCAGATGGAATTCTCTGGCCAGATAAGAGACTGGCAGACAAGTATCCTGTGGTGCACTTTGGGAAGCGCTACCTGAATGCTGGAGGTGGGTGACACCTGGAGAAAATGTTTAATGCCAATCTGAATAAATTTTAGGTACTGATGTATCATCATTTAAAAAAATATGTAGACATGAAGTTCTAAATAACTGTCATCTTATGACTGTTATAAAAATATCAGTGTAAAATCCACAGCACATTTTAGACTTGACAAACGCTTTTCCCATAGATTATGATATTTGATACTTTTGACAATATTAGGCAGTGTAGATGTTACAATTTCTGCATAAGTGAGGAAACTTATGTCCAAATTTAGTCCATTTTTTTTCCATCATTGCAAATGTGAAACACCTATACAAACTTAATTGAGTCACAAATATACCACTACGGGAACTTTGAAATAGTTTTTGAATGGTTATTTTGTTTGCAGAATTAACAACTTGGAACTTAATGAGTTGAGGAACTTTCCCTAAAGACATTGGGTTGTTCAGGAAAAAAAAAACAACAGAGATCCAAGTCTGATTCTAATTTTACTGAGAATTTTCTGGCTCTAGTATAATAGGTTTAGTAAGTTTCCTTTCTTGGGAAAAGGTTCATTTTCAATCTATAATCATCATGTAGCTTTTAAAAGTGGGCATTGTTTAATTTGATTATTTTTGAAATATATCGGAGTAAATAAGTGATTTGTCCTGTAATCAGTAATCATGTGATTCTTCATTGAACATCTGGGTATACTTAGAGTGTTGTATTATCTATGCCACCATGAATTAAAACACACATTATCACACCCTCCCTTAACAAATAAAAATAAATTGACCTCAGATAATGTTGACTTTAAAATATGTTTCTCTTAGATGGAGTTTAATATAAATAAATGGGCAGAAGACATACCAAATAGGACCAAGGACTTCTTGGATAGTTCAGTTGGATGTGAATTGCAAGCCATAATGAGAAAAGGGAACTTTTTGGGTGATCTGCATATGTGTTGCTGACATAGTTTTTAAGTGACAAAATGATTGTTAAGGGATACCAAAGAATCAGCCTTAAGCTTTTTGTAGTCAAAATTATTAGATGATAGAAAATATAAATATGTTAAATGTTTGTATCATTTCATGGGTGATATATTGAGAGTTATTTAAGGGATATGCGATATATTTGTAGATGTGTCAATTATTTTTTATAAGATTTTTAATAGTTTTTTTTTTTTAACCTGCGCCTTATGGGTATACATAATTGTGAGATTCTCTTTGCTATATTCATGTATGTACATGAAAAAGTTAGGTCATGCCCTTGTCTTTCCTTGTCCCACCTGCCCTTCCTTCCCCTCAATTCCCTTTCTCTACTCCATTGATCTTCTATTTTGATGGAATTCCTCCTCTTGTAAATTATAATTCCTCCTCTAATAAAAGTAGTTTTAATAATAAAATATAATCATATAAGGTATATATCACATATTATGAAAATATATTTCTTTTTATTTGAGGATATTCCACTTTGTAAAAATGATAAGGAAACATGATTTTTCAAAATCAGACATAGAAACCATTGAAAATGTTGTGTGTCCCTATTTAGTATACGTCTCTCCACAAACTTGTAGAAATTAAAACACACATTATCTGTTCTAAAAATTTTAGAATTTTTTAATTTGGCAGGAATAACAAAAAATGAGAAACCAGTGGTGGTTTTGTCACTTTTTCATTTTGCTTTTTCTTCTCTAGGTAACTGTAATATTCCTGAACCTATTTCTTTGAATTCCTTTATTCCTGTGAGAGAATTTTAATTTTAATAATAAAAATTACATCTCCTTTCTATTCAGAGGAGTAGCACCGGTCCCTTTTAAAAAGTATTGTGTGTCAATAAAACACAGCAGCTTGCCTGCAGTTCTGAAATTCAGAGGTGGATCAAATGGGAAAGCTGATCCTGTTGTCTATGGCTTTTTCAGACAAATGTTATTGGAGTAGTTAATGCTCATGCTCAAAGGCCAAGGGGAACAATCCAATTTTAGACTTCCTTTTTTCCAGACTATGACATAAAAACCTAGCCAGAAAATGTTTTAGCAGGCACAGTAATGAGTCGGTCAAGTAATGGAAAAATTACCCAAAAGTCCTAGGTATAAAATTTCTTTGGGATTTTTGCAATCAGTGACAAGTCCCACATTCCTTCGATTGCATTAGCATCCCTGGCATGAACATTAAAACCACTGTCTTGGAGACTTTCTTCTTTCAGAAACAGTGGGTTCTCTGCAGGGGCTCTAAGAAGAGCATTTTAGAAGGTCACAGAGAAAATTTTTCCGTCTCGTTCTATTCCTAGTTTTGTCATTTTCCCTTAGTAGCACTGGAAAAAGTTAGTTCCCCTTTTGTGTCAATGAATATGGGGAATGTGATTATTTATAAAGCATCTGATGATTTTCTGTTCTGTAATTGGTCAGGAACTTGGCTTTTGTCACTGATGTATAAGCAAAGGACACTCAGGAACTCCTGTTTGTTTTGTGGTGATCTGTGAACCTCCATCCTAAGGTTAAACCTCAGGGCTTCAGTTCTGTGCAGCTGTTTGGTGGGATTAACACAGCATAGGTTTTGGGCTTGCAGTTCTCCATTCTCCGTTTCTGCTCTGTTGCAGGATTTATTGGCTATGCTCCATCAATCAACCGTATAGTTCAACAGTGGAATCTCCAGGATAATGACGATGATCAGCTCTTTTACACAAAAATATACATTGATCCACTGAACAGGGTAACTAATCGCCCACCCGTTCCTTTCTTCCTAATTCCTTTTTTATTGTTTTGGTTGCTGTGTCTATTGCATTTTATTGTTCCTTACATCCTATTGCTTTGGTTGCCTTGTTAATATGGAGTGGTCAGAAACAAAGGACTTTTATGGACAGAATGGCAATTGGAAAACTGAATTGCAACACGTTCTTGCCAATTACATATTTTAAAAACAAAGTCAAGGAAGCAAACAAATAGTGCCTGAGCCTGGGTCCTCCCACCTGGAAAAGTACCAGCTAAACTGTCCTTTTGCCTCCCCTTTGAGGCCAAGTCAGCAACCTTGTCCAACTTGGGTGGGTCACCGAGAAGAAAAGTGAAAATACAAACTTTTGCTTTTTTGTGTAGTTTATTGAGACACATATTGAAACAACCTGATAAAAGAAACAAAAGGGAGGCCTCTCTCAGCATTACAGCTGCCCCTCCGCTGGGGTCCTACCAAGTCCCTGGCTGCCTCTCAGTAGCAGAGTGAATTATGTCATCACAGCTTCTGAGGCTGGAGATTTAAAGAGGCAGTAATAAAGTTCCAGAGACTCTTGGGAGAATGCTTTTGTAAAATTTTCAAATAGCTGTCATTTATTAAGATACAAAGAATTAGGACTGTATATTCTTTTATATTTAGCTGTACTCTTTTTTTTTTTTTTGCCTAAGATACTTTGAAGCTATTGGATGCCAATGTACTTTTGTAACGTTAAAAAAAATATAGTACATTCTCGTTTGTCAATCTTTTAGCCTTTCAAAGGTCTCTTTGTATTCCTTTCTTTGTTCCTCAGTAAGTGAGAAGCCAGACTGTGTATCCACACTTCACCCAGGGATAAACAGGCCACAGAGTAACTGTAGGAAGTGGATCTTGGGTTTCCTGAATACCCAAATCAAGATTTGTTCTCTATTTCATGTAATAGCAATATTGACTTAATGTACTCAGTTGACTAAATTTGTAAAATAACACTTTTTTTAATGCTTTGAAATGACATGTGAAGAAAACCACTTAAAGGACAGTTTTTAATTTTATAGTTAGTTGTGATACTAGGAAAGACAGGGACCTCCCTGCGAGACTTGAAACATGGAGATTGAGGGTATAGGGGAAACACTGAAGACAGAACCCTAATCTATGTTGAGCGGTTCGTGGTCCAGAGTGGGTTGTCCCTACAGATATGGTTGGTTGGTGTGATCCTTTGGCTGGAGCCCCAGGGAGCTTTATAGCCCATTTCAGTCTGTAGAATTTTTGAGACTATGGAACCTTGAATAAAGAGATAAAAGTGAAGTCCTAGAGAGGTTAGGGCCTGAGCATCCACAAGGCTATGGTGTAGACAGAGTCTTATGCCCTTTTTTAGTAAAAATAATTGTCACACTGGGCATGGTGGGGCACGCCTATAATCCCAGCAGCTCAGGAAGCTGAGGCAGGAGGATCACAAGTTCAAGGCCAGCCTGAGCAATTTAGTGAAGCCCTAAGCAATTTAGTGACACCCTGTCTCTAAATAAAACATAAAAAGCGTTGGGGATGTAGCTCAGTGGTTAAATGCCCTTGGTCTCAATCTTCAGTACCTTAAAAAAAAAAAAAATAGAATAACTGTCACAAAGAAAACAATTTAAATTAGCAGTGGCCTAAATAAGATAAATGTTTTATCTATGTGTTGATATTTTTCCCTTTGTCATAGTAAAAAAATTAAAAGGTAGGGAGCACAAGACTGTTGGGGTGCTTTTATGGTGTCAAGGTAGCTCTTTGCTGCTCAACTGGGAGCCTTTATCTCTGATTTTTCAATGTAACCTCCTTATCCAAAATGCCAAGTGGAGCACCAGCCATCGCATCCATATTCTGGGCAGTGAAAAGGCAGAAGAGTAAAATACGGGTCATCTCAGTTTCATCAACTCTCCTAGTAGCCTTTTAGAAGTCCCACAAAATACTTTCTCATACTTTTCTATGATCAGAACATATTTATGTAGCTGCTCATGACACACGAAGGGAATTTTGCTCTTTATTTCAAGCAAAATGCCGCACTGTGTTCTGAGTCTGCTGTTGGGGAGATCACTGGGACAACAGTTAATCTTCTGTGGGCTTTTGCCACTCTGGAAATCGACTTAAATTACAGTTTGATGCAAACTGATTCAAGAATATGCTTTCCCATATTTATATAACACAAGCTAATGTTTCATAATTTATATATATATGTAATTAATATAATTTTTTAACATTTATGGAATTATGTATTTGTGGTGTTGTCACTGGGAAACAAATTTGATTTAAAACCGTATAGCAGTGATTTGCACTTAGTGCTCTCTGTCTCAGCTAAATAGTTCAGTCATTTCAACATTTTCATTAGACAGTCAGCATGAGCATTTTAAGACATAAATTCCCCAAAGAGCAAACTATACTAACATGAGAATGGTATTTGCTGTTTTTCTTGTGATTTTCAATATTATTTTTATTCTTAATTTTTAGGAAGCTATTAACATCACGTTGGATCATAAGTGCAGAATTTTCCAGGCCTTAAATGGAGCCGTAGGTATGCTTTCTAAATGCCGGATTCCTATGTCTGAAAACAGACACCTGTGTTTTGAACTGTCTTCCCTTTGTTATATCCACTTTGGGGTGGGGACTAAGGTCTGCAGTGTACATATTACAACATTTAAAAAATATTTAATTTGAACTTAGCTGGATAAAGTTCAAAATATTCCATTGAAATCATTTCCTAAAACTAGTGTGAAAATATAAGCTTCTGGTCCTATATAACTTGAAATTTAATCTCTTACCCTCTGGGAATTGCAAATATATTTATGAATTAATTACACCTCATTATTACACATTTTTCAGTTTAAATTCTTTGTACTGTGAACTACTTGGAAGTATTAGAGTAGCTCCTTTGGACTCAGCTGCTGGGTAACCAGTAAAACCTGTATAACTAGGCTGTGGAAGAGTGTGTGTGTGTGTGTGTGTGTGTGTGTGTGTACGTACCCATGTACACGCTTGCACATGCAAATCTACCTGCGTGTGTTTACCTGGAGATATGTCTTGATAAAAATACATTAACACATTAAAATAATTAATGAATACTTTTTTAAATCAAAGTATCTCAATCCATTGATTCATTCATACTTTAAAAGTTAAAAATAGATTGGAATTCAGTACAGTTCATACGGTAAAACGATTCTGGGAATGGAAAGCCTGAGTTTGGCATTCTCAGGAGATGGGAATCTGAAACACAAAAGGAACCTGAAACCAAAACCTAGCTTCCCTTCCTCTGTTTCTTGTGTCTCTCTGGATGATTGTATGAAATCTGATTTTCAAAAACTGGAAAAACTACCAATGCTGGCCAGTGAAAACCTTACTTAAGGCAGGAAGCTTTCTAGTCTCCACACACTTTATTGTTTCTTTGCAGTAACCCTGCAAAGTAGGCATGGGGCCCGTTCTGCAGATGAATGGGCTGCTCCCTTTCTTATCAAAGGGTCATTTGGGGGAGCACTGTGAAGATGCTTTGTTTCCTCTGCACAGCCCAAGGCTTAGCACCACGCTCATTTTGTCAGAGGGAGTGAGGTGCCCTGGAACAGGTGTGCATCTCTGTCATCATCCTCCTTCTTTGTGGGGATCTGCTGACATGGGATGGGCACCATTTCTAAGTGTCACAACATATGGTGTGTCTTATCTACAGCAAGTTTTGTAACACACACAAGCACACACATTGAATGTCACTAAACCTCTGTTCTCTTTTTAACTCAGATGAAGTTGTTTTAAAATTTGAAGATAGAAAAACCAGAGTTAAGAATACATTTTATGAAACATTACCAGCAGTGATTAATGGAAATGGACCCACCAAGGTGAGTTGCGGTGATTGCTCTGTAGTTTTTAGGAGGTGGACTATGGAGATGTATGTGGTATGTCATCATCTTTAAGAAAAAAGAAATCAAAAACTATATTTTGATGTGAACAATTGATTGGCTTTGTCTTTTATACAGTATATTATCTGATTTAATCAACTAAATGGAAGGTTTCTCCTCAACAGGGTGACAACCTTTTATTCTATCTACATGCAGCACATTGAATGAAAGTGTTCTGTTTAATAATGCTGGAAGAGCTAGCTCGAGAGGGTTTCCATCTCTCCATCATTCCATATCCTCTGAACAGGAATTGCTCAGGCCATTGAGGATCATTTGTTTCCCATGATTTAATATTTTTAAAGTTAACAACAGTGTTAAGATCGAGATGTAACTTGGAAGTTTCCTCTTGCACTCATTTTATACCAAAGTTAATGACAGATATAATTTGACTAATGAAACTTAGCATGTTTTTCTTTTTCAAATACATATAATTGAGCTTGCTGAAAATGCTATTGACCACAAAATATATGGATGAAAAGTTTGCATGTGTCCAACCAAAGTGGAACATATATTGCTTTGAGAAAAATATATAAATTCTGTACTAAAAGTAGTGCTGGACATGCTGAGGTCCTGGCTTACTCACAATACCTGGAAAAGAGATCCACAGGTCGATTTGCCTTGTGGGAAGAGAGGTGGGGTGTAGCCTGCCTTTTCAGAGGAGGGAGGGACCCAATGCCCAGAGCAGCTACACAAGTGGCGGGAAATTGAAGGAAACTTCTCTTCCCTCAGAATGGAAGGTATGGATCTGCTCCTCTAGCTGAGGATTCCCCTCTGCCCTTTGTCCATTCCACCGTCCTATGGAGCAGTCTTCCCTATGGACTCTCTTTTCTGTTTCATAATAAGTTTTCCAAGCTCTGTTCTCTAGTCGTCAGTTTTAATCACCCTCAAATCTTTCCTTCCAATAAATAAAACAAATAAATGGGGGAAGAAAAAAAAAACAAGCTGAAGTAACCCCCCACCCCTCCCACCCCACGTAACATACACTGCCTTCCACCCTGCTCCTGGCTTCTTCTCTCCTCCTCTTCTTCCTCTCCTTCTTCTCTCCTCTCCTCTAGACTTCTTAGAAGCACATGACTACTGTCCCCTCTACCCTCTCCCATCACACCACAAGGGAAAATGCTCCTGTCCTGGTCTGCTGTGGCATGCCATTGAGTCCTGGAGCTCTGTCCACCGGAAGTCAGCATCTGAGAATGTGGATCCTCCTGGGTCCAACCTGAAGCACTTTCCCATGATGCTCTGCTCTGTCTACTAATTTCCTGTTCTTTCCTCTTTAGTCGCTTTCTTTTTCTAATGCACATTATGACAGTTTTACATCGTGTGAGTGTGAGTGAGCGTGTGCGTGTGCATGAATGTGTGGGTGAGTGTGAGTGTGTGAGTGCAATCACATGTGGGTGAGTGTGTGCGTGCACATATGTGTGTGTGGGTGTGGATTCTTTCCCTGTGCTCCTTTAGTCGATGCCCATAGGTGTCAGTCCAAGATCTTCCTTTTCTGCTCTATACATGTTCCTGAGTATTTTGCTTCCCTCCCCGTCAGCAAATTCTCTCTTAATGCTGACAGTTTTTCAATCCTCACTTTCCCTCCTGTTCTTCCAGGGCTCTGGTCTGAGTGCTCATTGGTAGATTCCATGTATACTCAGAGCTCAAGCCTCCTTTCATCTGGGCTGGTCAACCAGAATCAGAATCTGGTTTTTGTGTTGACTCCCACGCCTGGAGCTCCCTAGTCGAATTCTTGCACATAGTGTTTTTATCTTATTTTCTCAGTGCCCATAGCAACTTCCCTGGTTCAGGCAATTGGCAACCTGGAGCAACTAGTTGTACAATGCCTCCTGCCCCCAACAACCTGAAACTAGAATATTCTGCTGAAGCAGAAGCCCCACCACATCCCTCTCTGCAGAGGGCTCTTCTGTGGATGTAGGTCTGAGTAGCATATCTGATCTTGTCATAGTAGGCCCTTTCTTGTTCTCCTGCTTAGGAGGCCACCAAATCCATTCTCCCACCTATTCCGGAATCCTCTGCTCCTGACTCCCTACTTGTGACATCCTCCTGTTCATTCATTAGGTGTCAGCTTGGTCTCAGCTCTCCATGCTTGCTGTGTGCTTCTGAAACACCCGACACTGCTTCTTTCATCACAGTGTATACCAGACACTGGACAGACATGGGATTTAACAGTGTTCCTATGGGGCCTTTAGCCTAGGAATCACAAAAATCATATTAGCCATTCACTTTTGTCTCTCCCAGGTCCAGCCACAAGTAACATATATTAAGCCTTTCTGCAGATTTTAACTGAATGTCGGAGTCAATAAACCATCTCAATGGCCTAACATTATTCTTGGGAGTGATAAGAAAGTTCCCCCCACCCAGGCAAAAATGTCATAAAATTTGAGAAAATTTGACAAATGGGATAAATTCTGTTTACGGAGTCCTTTACTGTCTGTGTAATGTCTGTTGGAATCTTCATTGTAACTTCAGGGCCAGTTAGGAAAGGTCTGTTACAACTCACCCTTTCCCATGACGAGCAGTTCTGTTCCTTCTTGAGGATATGATATCTTAGTTAGATTTAAGTGTCTTTAAAGAGTAAACTTGGTCCTCAGAATTTAGTGATTATGCTCAAGACCTGATTGATGCTCAGTGATTTTGGTGTGTCTCAGTTCCTTCAAAATTTCCAGAAAAGTGCTACCAGTCAAAAGCTATATAAAAGTGGCTTGTCACAAGCACAGGAACAGTGCTTCTCCATTGTTTAGAAAGATCTATGACCAAGATTTTTTAGGAATTCTGGAAACAGTTTCAGTTTGGGTGATTAGTATTTCCAGTATTTCAAGCTCTGTGGGGGATCCTATTGTATTTTCTCTGTCATCAACTCATCTAGTTTGGGGTACTGGGTGTAGAACCTGGGGTCTCGTGCATACTGGGCAGATGCCCTGTCCTGGAGTCATACCCACAGCTCTTCCCTGTTGTTTCCTTTGAGACAGGGTTTTGATGAGTTTCCAGGCTGGCTCTGCACTAGTGGTCCTCCTGCCCCAGCTGCCCAGTACCTGGGGTTGAAGGGGTGCACCCCACACCCAGCCTGTCCAGTATATTTTCTAATAATTCTACTTGACAACAAAACATGAAGTAGGTTTCATTTAAAAACTATGTTTGGTATAATATAAAAACTTGACAAAAAGTTGCATAAATAAGCATTTGGCAAACAATATTTTATTTCATACAAGTGTGTTAAAAATAAAATGCAGGTACAAACAGGCTATTGAAAACTTTATTTCACTGTCACAAAAGGTGAAAGAATTTTTCATGTGAATTTTTATGTTGGCTTTACTTTTTAGTAAAGTATGATTATGGTGTCAATAGTTTTGAGCCATAATATTGAACTAAATAATAATTTAAGCCATATTTAATTTAAGAAAAATGTATTCTGTAAATGAGATAGTACAAATGTATATAAAAATGATTTTTTCTTTCTTTCTCTAAATCTGATGTTTTAAGAATAATTTAAAAATTATAAGTAGTTTTAAAAATCACCTGTAATCTACTACCCTACAACTATTTTCAGATGTAGTTGCTTTCTGTGCCCTCTCGGTGGCTACCCATGAGTGTTCATGTTTTTATTTGTTTTTTATAATAGTGTCTAAACAATTTTGTGGCTTTTTAAATTTAGATTTTTATTTGAAACACATTTCTGTATTTATTCTAAATAGTTTTTGTGCCTTTCTAGGTACAATCAAATATAAATTGATGTTTCTCAAATTGATGACTTTAGTTTGAAACTTTACATTTTTTTTTCCTGAAGCTCATATATTGTTAGTAAGATGCCATAGGATGTTTAAGACTTGCCATCTAAAATCAGATAATACACATCTAAAGGTAATCATCATGAAGTGGGTAGTACATTTACATACAGATTAGGTAAACAGGGCAAGATCAAATCACCTGCTTTGCACATGACAGCAAGTCATTTCTGCAATTGATTTGATGTGCAATAAAGATAGTGAACTTAATTTTATGAATAAAAACCACAGTGCTTGGACCACTGTGACCTTGAATAATGCATGGCTTTTTAAGAAAAAGAAAGCAAAGAAGCAAAAAAGGAAAGAACTTGTCTGGAAAAGTCTCTCTGCCAATGACCATGACATCATGCCTGGAAATATTTTGGTATTGTGAAAGAAGAGCCAGTAAAATACTACCACCTCGTAGCCGGGAGTGCCCAGAGCAGCCCAAGTGCATAAACAGTTCTCTGCCCCTTCAGAGCTGCCAGCAGAAATGTCTGCAGTTTTTATGAAGAAAACAGATGTGAATTAGGGTGGCTGAATTGATGGTGGGTAACCTCAGCCTGTGTGGCGAGAGACCCGAAAGAGGGAGGTTTCCATTCAAAAGGACTGCTTCTAGAAATCTTAATTACCTGTGAAACAAGCTGAAGTACCCAGCAGAGAATGGACAAGTTACAAAATCAAATTTTAATTCAGAAATCTCAAGGCAGTGCCTTTTTATGCTCTCATTTCTTAAAACTATTGATCATTTCATATTCACATAGGGATTCCAGCAGGCTGATCAATAATGTGTGCATAAATATTTGTTTTTCTGAAGTGTCTTGAGATGGGGAAAGTGTCATTCTTTATATGTGATAGGGATTTTAAGTATATCCAAGTATATATGGGGTCCTTCCCATAAAAAATTCTGTCCCCAGATATTTTAATAAAACTATATTTTTCATGCTTGCTTTTTAAAATCTCTTTTGAAAATAATGCTCAATAATGGACCCATCTTCACATAAATCTGTTGTCTTTCTCCCAAACCATCATATTTTGTAGGACATGAGTAGTTAAATTAATGTTTCCATTTGTCATTGACAGTCAACAGTACACTTTTCTTTCTGTTTTTGTTAGAGAAACACAGTAGAATGACCACACTGACTCTTGAAATGTCATTAGTGAATGTCATGACCATATATTTCCTGCTTGGTAATTTGTTTTCCAAATTATCGTGTAATCCAAAAGAAATGTGAATGAGTTACTTGTCCATGTCTTCTGATTTTACTGCAGAGATTAATTGAGGCTGTATCTATAGTATCTATAGCACAAAGATTTTCCCCTTTTTATTCATAGTGTATTTACTTTAGCAGCATTTATGTCGAAGGTTCAGTTCAATAGAAGTGTTTGGACAGAATCCCAAATATTTGGGAGGAATCTGTGAAATTGGCTCTGGACTCATTACTTCAACTAGGATCTCTTTTAGGATCTTAGGAAGTTAGAAAAATCTAGTTGGCATTGCTCTGATTTTTTTTTTAGTCTTTGTGTTTAATACATAGATATTTTTCATTTGATTTTATGTTGCTTTTCAAATGAAAAATTAATTATCATACAAACATAACGAGGATTTAGATGTTTTAACAGTAGTATAAAATTACAGTCAGAGTTCTATCATAGCTTCACTGGCTGGAGGTAAAAAAAAATCTATAAATTTATAAATACTTCTGCCACTACTGGTATGAAATTATATAAGGAGAAGTAACTTTGTTTATTATTTATGTATTATCATAATTTCCCCTAAAAGATTTTCTCTGAGCCCTAAAGCATCTTTTAGTCTGTTTCCTTCTCTACCCCATTCACTTCCCTCAGTCCCACCTTCCCAGAAAAAAAAAATTGCATACAAATACAAAATCACAGATTTTACAGGTAAAATAAATGTCAATACAGGAAGCCATAATTTAATTTATTATTGATAGGACTTGTTGATTGATCTCTTTTAATCCACAGTGCCTTACTTTATCATTGATGGGATTTGTTGATAGGATCTATTTTAAAATTTTTAAAATTTGTTTTAATTAGTTATACATGACAGTAGAATGCATTTATGCACTTTGATATATCATACATAGATGGGGTATAATTTCACATTTTTCTGATTGTACATGTTGATATGATCTGTTTTAATCTTTTTCTGAAACAGTGCCCAGAAGTCTGGTAAGAGGTCCCTTTGCCCCTGTGAATGGGTTTCTGTGCTAGCTCTTTAAACATATTTACCTTTTTACTAACTTACCATTCACATGACTCATTGTGGTTTTGCTAATAAGTTTAATTTGTTATTTAAAGCCATATTTCATTGTTTGACATATTTTTATTTTATCTTTTCCATTATCGTTCCTTATATGAACTAAAATGACCTTCATGATTTATACCATGTCTTGACATTTCTAGACATAGCCTGCCCTGCCTAATGGTTCCGTCTGACAAAATTACTGTTTATTGTGCACGCTAAGTGATAAATATTGGTAGAGTAACTAAAGACATGTACCTAGTGCAGAAAACACTCTGAAGTTAGATGACTATAGAATGAAAGCACTTTGATGGGTAAGACTTACCTTTTTTCATCTCATTTCCTATCCTTTACTAGATTCTCCTGAATTATTTTGGAAACTATGTGCCTAATTCATGGACACAGGATAGTGGCTGCACTCATTGTGAATTTGATACAATTGACTTATCTGCAGTTGAGGTAAGTAGAATGGACTGTGTGAAAAGGAGTAATAGAAAGTGCATTGTGTGAAAATGCAGTGATTTGTAGGGAAAAAAAGGCAAATTATTATGTAGTTTGATTGTATAGTAGGTAATGGGCTTATAATGTTAAGCCACAGTGATTCAGAAAATTGCTTGATTAGTGTTCCTGAACTGTTTTTGAAGACAAAGTCAGGTAACAGCTGAACTCAGCAAAAGGGACTTGATTTTTAATACCTAAACTAATGATTGGTTGCTCTTGTGTTATTTTAGTTTGTTGATATGGTCAAAGCATTGAGTTACACTGCTTTGGAATTTTTATTGACTAATTTTTATCTGTGCATGAGTTTTAGATTTGATCATGTCAAAAATAACATGATTATCTAACAAAGGGCTGTTCTAGGTATTTTACAAACTAACTCATTTAAACACCGTAAATGCCTAAAGTAGTACTAGTGATTCATTTTTTCAGATGAGAAATTGAAGTACATAAAGGTAACAAGGAACTTACTTAGGGACACATATGAAGCATGGATTTGAATTTAGGTAGTGGAGCTCTAGGCTCTGTGCTATTGATGCTTCATAGTTTTTGTGTTTGTCTTTTGTTTTGGTTGTTTGGTACTGAGGATTGAACACAGAGGCATTTTACTGCTGAGCCACACCCCAGACCTTTTTATTTTTTTATTTTAAGATAGGCCCTCACTAAGTTTCTGAGGGCCTTGCTTAGTTGCAATGCTGTCCTTGAACTTGCTGTCCTCCTACCTCAGCCTCCTGAGCTCTGGGATTGTAGGCGTGTGCCACCATGCCCAGAATATCATGCACAGTTTTACCTGGATGTCATACTACACACCAAGCTTGGTGTTACTTATGGATATTTCACAGTGAATTGTAGCTATAATTTATTGCTTATATCCAAGCAATTGGAAAAATTTTATTATTTGACCATAACACATTTTTATCCCTTGTTCCATCATTTGACAGAGCAATTTTAGAACATCCTGTACTAACATTATTATTTCACAAAATTGCTCTAGTAACTTGGAAGAATATTATGAGCATGAACAATTGGATTCTACAGAGTGATTTTACCATTAAGGCTAATTTTCCCCTTCATTCAACCTAGGTTTATTGACCATCTCCAGCATGCCCACTAAGTAAAAGCAATATAAGCCAATAGAAAACTCCCGGGAATATACTTCTGATACTTCATGGGTCTGTGCAAACATAGAATATTTTCAGTTTAATGTACTCAGGCTTCTGAATTAAATAATTTCTATTTAATTCACCGTCTGAAGGGAGGATAAAGACTAACTTGTCTACATTTAGGAGCTTCTGAATAAAACCCTGTTTTACTTGAAAATAAAACTTTTTGGCCAGTCTTTCAAATCACAAACTGAATGTTTCCTATCTGGAAAGACTGCCAGGATATTTCTGAATGAGGCTGCATCATGAAGATGTTTAAAAATTTGTCTTGATCTATTTTGCAGAAAGTAATGTTCTTTGGAGGAAGAATTAATGCTTTTTATCTGTTTTGTTTCCTTTTGTGTACAGTTTCTGGTGCAAAGACAGAAAACATTTATATTAATATTTTTATTTTTAATTTTTTTTCATGTAGAAGTAGGTCACTTGATTCTTATGCTATTGTGTCTGATAGCCTGTTTAAATATACTAAAAAGAAAAACTAATTCTAAATGCAAAACAAAAAAATCTGTGCATTTTATGTGTAGTATTATGCAGTAGTGTATACAAATTAAAATTGTGTGTGGGAAGCTAAGATCCCAAGTGTAGCATAATTTTAAGTATGAGCCACAGGCAATTTCTTTGTATGTAAAAGTAATTGTGGTCATCCCAGAGGGTTGGTAAGAAGGTTAAATGAAATTTTACACACATATATGATGCATCTATATGAAAAATATATAAAATAACATTTTAAATGTACATTTTATATAATTTTAATAAACCAAACTATTGTCATCATTATTATATAAAAATAAACAGATTAATTGAGCTGTAATGTGTATAAGCTCAGCTCTTTACTAATTTATGTGTTCTGAATATTTAACTTTTCCAAATCCCATTGTCCTCGTGTAAATTTGGGATAATAAATAACCTCGATTCGAAGGCCGTTATGAAATTGAACAAAATGCATGAGAGAGGTATGATCTACTTTTGATGAGAGGGTTGGGATCTACATTTTACTTATTCCCCTCATTATATAGAGAACTCTTAGAGGGTAGATGTTTTTAGGTTTTTTTTGTATTTATTCATTTAATAATAAATATCTTGGTGTGTTGATAAATCACTGGATTAAAGGTTTGATGAGTTAACAAATTAATAGACAAAAGAAGTCTAAAGTGTACAAGGTACTTCTGTGCCAGCAAATATTAAGTTATAATACAGACATGCATATAAGGATACAACACATATGGTATTAAAAGAAAATCTATATTTCTTAGGCTGGGTAAGTAAGTCAGTTCTAGAGCACTTGCCTAGCGTCCCTGAGTCCCTGGGCTCAATCCCCAAGACAGGAGAAAATAATAAAAATGAAAATAAAAATCCGGTAATGCTTAACTTCCAACTTTAAGACATAATTTTTAAAAGATGCTATAAAGAAGCCTTAGTACCATTCTGGTATTAGCACCGGTACATGGTGATTGACTGGGTTCCTCTTTCCCCATCTAGATGTAAGTTTTTCAAACTAGGAACTTTTGTTCCTTTTGCTAAATGTTGCCCATCACAAATACTAACATATACTATAGGTACTTCAGAAATTTTCATATGATGAATGAAGGATAAACAGTACACTAAAACATACCTAAAGGGGATCTAAGAAAATGTTTAAAATAGAATGCATTAAGATAAAATATACTAATGAAAGAAAAATAGCTTTCCTCATATTTAATATAACAATGAAAGAATGTAAAAACCTGTTAGTGGAATGAAACAAAAGGGAACATTCGAGGTTAGAAATAAAGCCCTCCATGATTGATTTATTTGACCCACAGATTAAGTACCTGATTTTGAGCCATGTGAACAAAACGGAAAATGCAATCCCCATTCTGGCTGCTTAGATGCAGAGACAAAATAACTTCAGATCTGAAGAAGTTTCTTGAAGGGCCATCACTGACCAGAAGAGTAGACTGTATCCATAATTGTATCTGTGCAGTGGATAGGATAGTCTCCTCTTTAAATACAGCATGTGCTTCAGATAAATCATTTTGACAGAGACCTTTTCCCCAGTGAGAGAGAACGACCATAAGGCAATTAATTTATTTTTATTTTTAGTTCTTTTAGTTGTAGATGGACACAATACCTTTATTTATTTATATGGGCTACTGAGAATCAATCCCAGTGCTTCACATGTGTAAGCTAAGTGCTCTACCACTGAGTCACAACCTCAGCCCCCGGGGCAGTTCAAAGTTAGCACATTATCTTGAACTGAGATTCTAGTATTTTTTCTGTGTTACTGAATAAGATTTTAATAAAGTTTAAAATAAAACCACATTAATAACTATTTGTTTTTGTTTGCTGTAAAACAAAGGTCTATCCAAATGTAACAATAGGTGTCTTTATTGAGCAACCAACCCCTTTTCTACCTCGATTTCTGGACACACTATTGACACTGGATTACCCAAAAGAGGCACTTAAACTCTTCATTCATAACAAAGTAAGTATTTGATGAATAGATATTTTATTTTAAAATTATTTTGGAAGTATTTGTTATGTGTGTCTAACAAAGTTTATTAGTCTAAATAAATTGGAAGTCCCCCCCCCCCCACCGTAGTTACTGCTCTCTCTCTCTTTAGTACCTAAGGACTTTAAAGTATTGAGCTACAGAAAACTGCCAATGTTTGAAAAAACGGCTGATTGTTATTCCATTTTTGTGTGGCTGAGCTTAATATATAATGAAGATATATCAGAGGGCCTTATATTGCTTTGCATTTTGATTAATTCTGTTGCTTGCTTTTATAGAATTAACTTTTAACATGGGATACTACCTAACATCAGAACTCAAAACAGATTCTAGATAGAGTATGGTTTTGATTAATCTCACAATGGCCTGCTCTTCCCCGAGGGATGTTGATATTGTCATTTCCTTCAAAAATATCCAGAGCCTCCCAAATACCTCCCACATATAATCTAAGCTTAAAGACATTTTTGTCAGTTTTTGTCCCATGTATTTATCTCCTTCCTGTTAAAAGTCAGTATTGAACATCATGTAGAAAAATAGTCGTGAACTCAATAGTTGTGAAGTATTTCATTTCCCTTTCTTTCATAATGCTTTTTTGTTTATTGTTGGTCTTTCTTCCCAATTTACATGTCAGCCATCCATTTATTTTTTCCAGAGAATTTTTAAATTTTCAGAAAGCCAGCTTCAATGAGTTTAAAAGTGTGCAAGATTGAATATTTGCTTGTGACGTGTGTTATAATGTATGTTCTTACTTGAAAGTGTTTTATTTTTAGGTATTGGTATATTTTCTCTGCTTTCTTAGGGCCTTTAAAGTCCTTGATGGCAGGAGTTTTTAATCTTCTTTTATTTAAGATGAACATTGTAGATTTTATGTGATAAGTGATTTTAACAAGCTGTGAAAAGTATCATTCAGAAGTAAAATTTTGAATGTTGAAATGTTGTAGAGATATAGATATTCTTATCCAAATTTTAGCATGTTTGCGTCACACTAAATAAATAACTTCTAAGTTAGTGGTTTTCCCATTATTTATATTTTCAATAAGGTTTTTCTGAGACAATTATTATCTCTGCTTCAAAGAATATTATAACATTTTATTTTATAAAATGTAATTATATGATAGATTAATATCATTAGATTTAAATGACATTTCTGAATATTTTAGAACACACATCTACGATTTTCTGGCTGCAAGCTATTTTTTCCTTCTTGAGTTAAAAACATTTTTTATTATACAAGATTTAGGTATTTATGGAGTGACCTGTGGGAATTTAAATATTTACATAAGGACTTGTCTGGGAATAGACACTTAAAATCTTTTAAGTATCTTCTTCTTTGAGAATATTGATATATAAATATTTTAGATTCTTCATATGCTATTTAGGGGATAAGGAAGTATAGCATATTTAATATGGTTATCAACTTGTGCAACTGAATTGTGAGTTATTAGAATATATGACTCTGGAAGCATTCTCTACATATGCATAGTTCAGACATCTTATTGTCTTATTTACTAATTTTTCATTTTTAAAATATGTTACAGGAAGTTTATCATGAAAAGGATATCAAGGTGTTTTTTGATAAAGCAAAACATGAAATCAGCACTATAAAAATAGTAGGACCAGAAGAAAATCTAAGTCAAGCTGAAGCCAGAAACATGGGAATGTATGTCTTATTACATTTACGTTAAAAAGTAAAATTATTTTACTAAAGAAACTTTAAGAAAAATCAATTGTTCCTCCAAATTAATCTTCTAACCTTGGGAATGTCAGATATTTGTGCATGTGCTATGGATACAGTAGCAGGAGTCTCCTATTAGACTTCTGGGTTTGAGTGAATTTGCGTGTAAAAAGCGACCAAAGCTACTGGCAGTTTTCTTCTAATGACAGGAGCTGACATATTTAATTAAGCTATGAACTGAACTTCAGATCAAGATTAAAAAGGAAAAATCTCAGATAAATGAAGAGTATGACTTGTTTGACAATGCCTGTTGCATTTGACAATGAAGGTTGTGGGTGATGAAACCATGTTTTCAATTGTGGGGAAAAGGAGGGTCCCACTTTCTAGTTGCTCATGATCTAGACAGGCCTAGAGTCCTCAGTAGACCTATCGTAGGTCCTTTCTTTAGCTCTTTCAATACTTCTTTTAATACTTACTCTAGCAGAGTAAGAGCAACCATTTATTCAGTGAAAATTACTGAATCAGGAATTCTCAAAGATAATAAGATGAAGACGTGGCACCTTCCCATCAGGAGATATTCCTGTTACTGGCCCTTACACTTTATGCTGTGGAAGCTCAGGGGCAGAGTTATGGATTCTGTCTAGGCTTGAGGTGACAGGAAAGGCAGGAAAAGAGAACTCTAAAAACAACAACAACAACAACAACAAAAACAGAGAGATGCTAGTACTAATGGTTCATCCATTGGAGAATGTCTGGCATACACCTTGGAAACTTATTCTTTTTCTCTCTCTCATAATTAATACAGATCTTCCTGCCTGGTGTCCTGTTTGATAATTGTTTAGAAAAAAAATGTAGTATGGAGATACACAGCATTAAGAGCAGATAAGAAGGAACAGCAGTAAGGGGACAGAACTGAGAACTAAGAAGGAGATAACCCCAAATGCCAAAGCCATCACATGGGGAATTCACATATGTTGGTAGTATCATGAGCAGTTTGTTCTTTGGAATTCCTGCTGATAACACTAGAGACCAGCTAGAAAATCAGATAGCACATTCAGGGCCTCCTGATAAGCACATAGGGAGTAACCATCATAGAAAGAATTCCATGAAAATCAAGTTTAAAAAGTATTGATAACTAAAGAGTCATACACTTAAATCACAAGATTCGCTTAAAACTGGGTGATGCAAGATTTCATATGTGCATGTGTGTATGCGTGCATGTGTGTGTGTGCACGAACATGTCAAACATATTTTGATTGGTGAGAAAAGAATATTATAAGGGTAAACACATTGGGGTAAATTATTTTCTCTAATATTAGAAAGCATTAGATACTAAACTGCACATTACCATTGGGACTGGATGTTTTATGCCTTAAAAAATTCAGTGGCTTAAAATGTATTTTGCCAGACCTACAGTTTTACTTTTTACTCACCTGTGAATGTCTGTGTTAATAAGTTGGCCATTTTAAAATTAAATTCTGATTGGAAAATGTGTTGGAGAAGCCTTATGTTGCGTGTAAATGCAATGTTAACATATTTCAACCAAGAGACATTTATTTTATTGAACTCTCTTTTCATTTTCAACTTCAGGGATTTTTGCCGTCAGGATGAAAAGTGTGATTATTATTTTAGTTTGGATGCAGATGTCGTCTTGACAAATCCAAAGACTTTAAAAGTTTTGATTGAACAAAACAGGTACTAAGATTTGATATCACTATATTATTAAAATGATAATATTCCACATCACTGTGGACATGCCTTATTGTGTTTAGTAGACTGAGAAAAGTCACATTGTTTTCTATACACCATAAACTTCTTTTTTTTTTCTTTTTCCTAGTTTTATTGATGTATATTTGACAAATTAAAATTGTACAAATTCAGGGCTGGGTTTGTGGCTCAGCAGTAGAGCCCTGGGTTTGCTCCTCAGCACCACATGTAAATAACTACAACTAAAAATTAAATATTAAAAAAATGGGAAAAATAAAAACAAAATTTTTGTTTTGTGTGATTATGTACAATTTATTATTTTAATGTTTTTATTGCTTGTCATAATGGGATTTGAATCCAGGGCCTCTCACAGGCTAGGCAAGTGCTCTATCACTGAATTGTATCCCCCATCCCTTGTTTAAAATTTAAAAATTTTACTTTGCTAAGTTGTTGCAGCTGACCTTGAATTTGCAATCCTCTTGCCTCAGGCTTCAGAGTAATAGGGATTACAGAAAGGCCTGTGCCACCACACTGAGCAGTGTATGTTTATTTTATTTCACTTTTGTGCATGTAAGAGAAAGAGCCCAACTAATCATCACAAGGTTGGAGTATTGTAAAAGAGGTTTTATGTGGGGAATGGTTGCCCCCAAAATTTCTTGGAGGAGTTGTGTGAACTCTTCTTATAAAGCACCACTGCATTTAACAAGTAATTGTAGCTGGATGTGATGGTCCTCAGCTGTAATCCCAACAGCTCAGGAGGCTGGAGAAGGAGGATTGCCAGTCTGGGGCCACCCTGGGCAATTTAGCTACACTCTGTCTCCAAATAAACTTAAAAAAAGGGCTGGGGATAAAGCTCAGTAGTAGAGCACCCCTGGGTTTATTCACCAGTACCAAACTAAATAACTAAATAAATAGATAGTAATTCCAGAGGAACCTCAGGTTTTGTTTTCTCTTTGGGGAAACATTAACATTGTAATTAAGTTTCCCTAGATGAAAAGCTTGTACATTTTGAACTCCTAAAGTGTACTTGTCTCAAAGGGACCACTTTCCTGTTACATAGAGAAAGGGAACACTGGGGTAGTGTTTTAATTCATTTCCTGCTGCTGTAACAAAATACCAGAGACTAGGCGAATTATAAATAATGCATGTTTATTTGGCTCACAGCCCTGGAGGCTGTGAAGTCCAAGACACAGGAACTATATCTGTTGAGGACTTTCTTGCTCCTTTGTAACATGATAGAAGACATCCTATGGTGAAGGAGCTTGAGAGGAAGAGAGAGAGAGGAGAGAGAGGGAGGACACAGAGCACAGACCCCCCCCCCCCCATTTATAGCTAAAGTGCACTCCCAAGACCAGGGCCTTCATTCATTCATGGAGTGGTGCCCCCTTGACCTCACTACTTCTTAAAGTCCTCCTCTGAGCACCATCATCACAGTTGCCGGTTAAGTTTCAGCATGAGTTTTGTAGGGGGATGCTCAGGCCTTTGCAGGCAGTCACCCTCTATTTTATTTTCTGAAATAAATGACCAGAAAAAAATGTTCCATGTTGCCAGAATTGCCTTATAATAACCACAACCCATTTTAAAAGTCACGAAAAATGGAAACATATCTAAAAGTAATTTGGGACTTAATTTTAGGAAAACTGGACTATGTACAAATGTCTCAGCCCATCCTCATTATTTTTAATTCAACAAATATTTATTGGATACCTGAATGCCCCAGGGGCTTCTCTGTCTGCCTAATAAGAAGGAAAATATTTGACCTCAATTAGTATAATTTCTGAAATGCTGGAATAAAAATAAAATAATAGCCATATGAATAAGGTAGTTTCTAGGATGTAAAGTCCTTTAAAAGTAATTTTTATCAACATTTTAAATGACATTTTCCTTTTTTGCTGCACTTTTTGAAAACTAGCAAGTACCCATGTAAGAAAAGATATTGGGAAGAAATTTCTCTTTTTATTTTATTTTTTCTTTCAGATGAGCCATATGTATGTTAAATGCACTTTATTGTGTTATGTGTCATGTTAAGCTCAGAACATGTAACCCGTGGCAATTTAACAATAGGTAATGATGTTGATTGATCTCCCTTTAGAAAGATCATTGCTCCCCTTGTCACACGTCATGGAAAGCTGTGGTCCAACTTCTGGGGAGCTTTGAGTCCTGATGGCTATTATGCCCGATCTGAGGATTACGTGGACATCGTTCAAGGGAATAGAGTGTACGTTACTTGATTTACTTTTCTAACATATAATACTATAGTCTAGAAATGTGGGCGTGTTAACGTACTTCAGATTTTTTACGTATCTTTTTTTTTTGCTGTTTGTTTCATGGAAATTTGAGGACCACTTGGGATTCTGAAATATTCATGTAAAACTTAATATCTTAAAAAGTTGTTTTAGAATTTCTGAATCTTTAAAGGAACAAAGTCATTATTAAAGGTATACTAAGAGACAAAGTATGGTTAATGTGTGTATCTTATGATAGATATCAGAGTAATACTCTTTAGTATTGGAAAGGGAATTTAGTTTAATTAATTTATTTAATAATTGAGATTAAGAGTTTCTTTGACTTTTACACAACTTTTTAAAATTCATATATAAGCTTTTAAATTTTATATATAAGCACACAACAAGAACACAGAAAACCAAAACTTTCTAATACTCCTACACACACACACACACACACACACACACACACACACACACATTAATGTGAAATAGTTCATCTTCTACTTTAAAGGCAGCTTTATTCACAAATATCTAATTTCCATTTCTAAATACTGGCAAGAATATACATGCTGCAGAATGTTTGCATGAGTGGTATTTATTTCAGGGATGCTGGTTGATATTTTTTAAACTAAAAGTTATCACAATTGAAATGGGTTTTTGCTAAACCAATACAGAGAAGAATGCCATCTTTTTTTCCATACAGATAGTAGACTGGGATATTTTGCACTTTGCCTTACTTTTAAACATGTCAGACCAAATGAAAAGGAGAAACATTTTTATAATTAAAAAGAAGAGCTATTTTTAAAAAGGACACCTTTTTTTTTGTTGGTTAGTTGAATATGAAAAGATGCTTTGCTTGTGAAAATACTAATTGGTATAAAATCTTTGATTTTGGATGATGTAAATATATAAAGGCTTTTGCTTGCTGTAATTAAAAAGCATGAATAGGCTAAGAAAACTGTATTAGATCTTAGTTTATTGCTTCAAAGTACTTATACTGACTCTGATGATCATGTGTCTGATATGACTCATGGGTACAGCTGAAGGGAAACAGATACAGAGTAGAGAGTTCATGTCAGTGGTTTCTGGTTGTATGCCATTGATTTTGCTGCAGACACTGGTGATTTTCTGTGTCATCTTCCTGTCATTGTTGTCTCGAGTGTAAGAATCTGGCAGAGGCATTTGATCCAGTTCATGTTATAGGGTACTTCCTGTCTAGGAACTGGGAGAAGGAATGATGACTCAGGATGTACATGTGTGTATTTGCATTTCCCGTTCAGACAGAGACACTTCACACTCCAGCCATGGTTAATTTCTGAATTCAGCTAACAGATTGCATACCTCTTGAGATCATTTTCTTTCAGGCTGATCTAATAAGACAAATTCTATTTCTTGAATGTCTAACTCCATCTCCTAGGTCAAGATCTTCCCTTTCTCTTTTCTAAAAGCAGCAGGCAGAGTCCTTCAGGCAAAACTATTCTTATTTCATTTCATTCCTAGGAAATGAGTCATGTCCAGGGTGAGGAGGTAGGTGTTGGAAAGAATGACATGGGAGAGACTCCCAACACTCACAGGCTTCAGCTGTATTTCTTCATATCTTCCTTTTTCTCAAAAGATTTGACACAGTTTACTATTCTTTAAGAGAATATAATTTAGGGGAATTTTAGGCTCTACTCCATGGAGTGCTAGTAACAGCTGGCTCTTGGGAATGAGGGAATTCCCCAATGTTAGTGTTTTCCATTTCCGTGGTATAAATACTACTGTCCTGTCTGATGTCAAGTTTGCAAAGTGAAATCACAAACCATTGATTTGGAACTAATGGTCAGCTCTAGGGGCCAGTGTGAGTGAGCTCTAGCACACCACTGCTCTTTGTGTCTGTTTCTCTATCAAACTTTTAAATCACAAATAGAAACATTCTATAAAACAACATATTATGATCCTACTGCCATAGCTGTGACCCAACAGACAAAAATGCCAAGCAGATATCGCCCTATTTAAATTGAAGTTAGAGAGTCATTTGTCTCTTCAATCTCATAAAACATATGTCTACCAAGTAATCTTTTATGTATGTTAAGTATCAATGAATGTGTTTGTGTGTTGATTCTATAACTTATATATGCAAAATCTAAACGCACACAAAGCATTTGTTTTAAAAACGTAAGAAAAATGTAGATATTTTTGTATCTGGTATTTTGGAGTGTCTTTTTTACTTTCAGAGGACTATGGAATGTCCCATACATGGCTAATGTGTACTTAATTAAAGGAAAAACGCTCCGTTCGGAGATGAATGAAAGGAATTATTTTGTTCGTGATAAACTAGATCCTGATATGGCTCTTTGCCGAAATGCTAGAGAAATGGTAAGATGCACAAGTGGCTGCTTGCTTGAATGTTTTCATGAGACAACTTGCTTGGCCAGTTGTGTTTTCATACCTTTTTTTCCTCTCTAATATGTAAGTACTAGCCAATTTTTTTGGTACTGCATTGAAAAAGTTGAGAGTAGTTTGGGGGTATTATTTTTAAACATTAACCTGTAGAAGTGGTTTGAAAATTTTAATTGAGGCTGACTCATACCCATCACAGCAAGATTTAATAATGAAGATGGAATTTTTATGGATCAGCTTTGGTCTTAAGAATACATCTTCTCTTCTATTTGAAGTTTTGTAGCTTTCACTCATCCTAGATAAAATTAGTTAAATAAGGTTTATTAGGTGAAATAATCATTACATATTTAAGATGTTTAGAAGGTGGTGCCTGCATTTTTTCTAGCTGGGTGTATATTGTAGTTCTCAACCTCACATTCTTGGAAAGACAGTGGAATGAATCTGACATAAGTGTCCTGTTTACATACATGAATACACCACAGTGAAACTCCACACCATGTACAAACCAAAACTGGATCCTGATTAGAATAAGATGTATTTCATATTTGTACAAACATATCAAAATAGACTCCATTGTCATGTTTAACTAAAAAGAACAACATCAACAAAAGAGGTTCCTTATCACAGAATTAGAAAAAAGGTCAAAATAAGTAGAATATTTAATCTGATGTCAAAAATTAATGATACATTGCTGTTCTACAAATACAATGTCAGTATAAATATTAAACAATTATAGGAAATAGCTTGCCTTTTCAGGATATTTCAAAATGTATTTATATGATTTCCTATTTTAGAAACGATGGAGGTGTACATTAGTCCCAAATTTATATAAGTATTTGTGGTTTAAGAAAAATCAGAAAAGTTGGCAAGTATTTTTTTCTTATTTTAACAAAGCATGATTTGTTTGAATTTGTTTGTTTTTCCTACAAATCTATGTGCCTTGTTATTATTGAATATCCTCAGTACCTGTGATTGTATTTTGTGCTCATGTTTGGCTGGTTTCACTCAACAGCGCATCCCGGAATGGCATCTTATTTATTTTTTCCTTTGTCTTAAATATGTCTCTAATGAATTTTGCTTAGAAATGAGCTTGGATGTGTGTTTGACTTCCCCCCCCCCAAAAAAAAAAATGGAAAGAAAAGGCTGGACATGTTTCTTTGTGTGCGCTATAAGCTTTGCTTGTTCTGCATGTTGTCTGTGAAGGACATGTCAGAATGTCAGCTTTTCATCAAGAGCCGCTTTTTTTTTTTTATTTACCAAAGAATACCCAAGAGAGTGGGTGTGCAGTCAACTTACCCAATGCTTCTCTTCATTTTAGACTTTACAAAGGGAAAAAGACTCCCCTACTCCGGAAACATTCCAAATGCTCAGCCCCCCAAAGGTGTTATTTTTATTTATTTTTTGTTTATGTAATTAATATTAAATATGGTAAATTGCATAGAAGTAAAGTTTATTTAAGAACCTTCTTTGCATTTAGCTTTATATAATGTTGGTGTTCATGGGTTAGTAATCTGAATGTGTGTGTGTGTGTGTGTGTGAGAGAGAGAGAGAGAAAGAGAGAGAGAGAGAGAGAGAGAGAGAGAGAGAGAGAGAGAGAGAGATCTGTGTGATTTTGAGCGGGATATTGGAAGTTAACACTTGGATCTTTGAGCTGATTTATATTTTATAGTTGACAGTTGAAAAAGTTAAACCCAAGTTTCTTGCACTCGTTCTTTTGGGTTTTATTTTGGTGGGTGACAGGGAGAAGAGGTAGAGGTGGATATACAGTGCATCTTGATTAAAGAAATGAGACTTGGGAGCTCTTCTTGATTTATTTTATTGATCGCTAACCTTTTTACCACTAAAACAGGTACAAAAATCAACGTCCTTGCATCAGTTGTGTTTGCCATGATTATTTGGTTTATGGCAAGGATATGAAACGCACTTTTTTTTTAGCTGCCTTTATAATGCATGACTAAGTTTTGTGTTCTGTCTTTAAACATTAGAACAACAAAAGAATGAAATGCAGTGATGCACTAATGACATTTTTAATTCTTGTTTAAAAATGTAACACTGTCTTCTTTGAAAGGGAAAGAAGCCAAAAGAAGGTCTAATCCATTGCATTTTGGTGTCTCAAAAATATTTCTGCTTTCAAACAGGAATTTTTTTTTCCCGATGTCTCCATCTAGGACCAAAGAGAAAGGCATAAAAACAATCCATTCATCTTCTTTTTTTTCAGTTGAGTGTCAGTGCTATCTGTTAGTTTTGTGTGGTGTCTGAATTTATAATCCAAATTTTCTTTCTTTTATTTTAAATCATGCACGTTTTACTTGAAAAATAAAATGCATGTTTATGAATGAAATTATAAAAGTTGAAATTAATATACCATACTATATATTTATCTATGGTTAAACTTATATTTTGTACCTTCCTCTAAGATTAACACTCCTATTTTTTGGCATATAGGGTGTGTTTATGTACATTTCTAATAGACATGAATTTGGACGACTACTATCCACTGCTAATTACAACACTTCCCATTATAATAATGACCTCTGGCAGATATTTGAAAATCCTGTGGTATGTGTTTCATATTCAACTTGTTTTATTACTTATTCTCCTGTAAGTCTAACTGGACATAAACTAGTTGGCTAATAATACGAAAATATGATAAGAGGTGTTTAAAAAATGAAATAGTTAATTGTATTTAATGATCTATAGAGTAGATCTAAACTTTACCAAGAACTTGTGTCATAAAGATATATTTTAGGCTTGAGGAACTTAATTATCAGTTTCTTTGGTTTCTCATATTTTCTGTTATATATTCAAAAGTTCTATACAATCTTTAATCACCATTTCAGAGAAAAGTTTACAAATAGTTTGTGTATAATATTTTGATTTTCAGGAAGAAAAATTCAAGAATTAGCTAAGGAAAATACACAGTATCTCATGATTTTGTTAATCCGTTTTGACAGTTTTGTGAATGTACACCTGAGAGAGCCAGAGAAAATTGAGGAGTAAGCTCCTTCAGTGTAAAAAAAGTCTTAAGTTGAAGAAAGGATTTACTTTCTAAAGTCTAAAAGACGTGTTCTTGTTTTCTTAAAGATTTCATCAGATAGTAAAAAGCTTCTGTTTTTGCTTTATAATGATTTCTTTCTTTTCGTAAGCTCCACACATTTATTCAAGGGACATGTTCTCTTACTCTGCTGTTTTTAAGATTTTCCTCCCGGCAATAGTAAAAGTTTTCAGTTACCAAGACTCACTTCACCTGATGAAAATTGTCTTTTATTTTGTGGGAGAGTTCCAGAAATGGTAAATTTAATAGTTCTTGAATACTCTCCTGAATAGAGAAAGAATGTTTTTTGACATTTTGATATTTTTAAAGTACTTTTGCCCCGTTTTAGCTGGATGTCTTTATCATTCATGGGAGTAGAATTGAAAAGAGGTCTATTTTATGTGAGGGTAGAATTCATATTTTATTGAATCTCTTAATGTTTTGAGTGTAGAATTATTTGGCTTCTCAGATAGCAGGTTAGCTTCCTGGCAAGATGCCCTAAATTATATCCTGAATTGCACCTCTGTGTAAGAGTTCCAGTCTCTGGAGAGGATAGGATGAAAATGTCAGAACTGAACAGAAATGACTTTTCTTTCTATGGCTTTCTTTGTTTTTTTGAAACATTAGTCTAATTGTGGATATGCTGAGTGCTGTCTCATGGCAAAATACTTAGTGATTGACCCATCATCAAAATTCCTAAGAAATTAGTACAATCACAATTTGCTCAATGACTTGAAAGTTTGCCTAAAATGAAAAGTTACTATTAATACCCAAATGTAAAATTCTTGGGGATTTTGTTTTCCATAAACTTTAAAGAAATTTTTTAAAAATGATGCATAGGAAAAAAATATATTCTTGAATTTCTTGTTTGACTATTTATATTTAATTTTTATCAAATTTTAGAATTAGAAAATGAATAAATATTAGAGAAATAATGAAATAATGCAGAAAATATATCATCATATTTGTACACTATGTATAAATGACATTCCTTAAAGAATTTGAAGATAGCTTTGGCTTCTCCACATCAAAAACAGGCTCCATATAAACATACAAAACTAAGAATGGCATATAAATTTAGCATGATATAAATCATCTGCTCTGCCAAAATCCAGCCTCAGAGATATATTTAATATAAATATTTTTGGAAACATGTTTTTATTAAAATTATTTAGAGTCTGTGCTTATGCTGTGACTTCCCATATTTGTACTTTATAAAAAAGAAAGTTAAAAATTTTTCAAGAGTCTAAATGCATTTAAGAAGATATTGGGGAGATACCTAATTCACTCCATATTTCATCATAAACTTTCTCATTTATGCCAGAGATTGGTCAAAGAGAATAAAATTTCTGAATTAGATGAAGAGGAACCTTTTTCAATATAAGGACCTAATTCTTAACCTTGTTAGTTGAATAAGACCCTAGTTAATTAATTCACTAATGGTTTTTTGCTATTATTTATTGGTACAATTTTGTTCCTTATTTTATCCTTCTTTTTTTTTTTTTTTTTGGTCTTGGGAATTGAACCCCAGGCCTCAAGCATACTAAGCATGTGCTCAACCATAGAGCTAAACCTCTAGCCCTATTTTTAATTTTTAAATGCCACACATTTAATCATTCTAAAACTAGTCATTGTAGGATTATTAAAGTCTTAATATTCTGAGGCATGAAACATAATAAGTTTTTTAAAAAAATGTTTCCTGCAATGATGTGAGCACATACAGAATTAGGAAAAAATTGAAATATAAACTTAGTTTCTGAAAATTCCTGTTCTGTTGAATATACACAGCCATTTCTAGTTGCTTAATTCATAAAAAGTAAATACTTTTTATTTGCTAGTGAATTATTTGTGAAAAAGATATTTGTGTTAATATGTACAATTCTTTTTTTGATAGGACTGGAAGGAAAAGTATATAAACCGTGATTATCCAAAAATTTTCACAGAAAACATAGTTGAACAGGTTTGTATTAATAGCTACTATGATGTATAGAGCATTTTGCTGTATTTTCCAGAAGAAAGCATTTCTAGTGTAATACTACTTTAATGGAAAATGTGAAATAGAGAAACTGGCCTTTGGGTAAAATTCACATGGCTTATTAGCAACTCTGCAGCCTTGGAATCATACAGATGTGAAAATGGAGATTTAACAATATATTTTAAGATAATACTTTTGGAAAAAAAAATAATGGTCCTAAATTTTCTGGCTTTATGATACATTTCAAAATAAGGAATCATTGAAAGATTTCTGGTATGGAATTCTTTCAATAAACATTTAACTTTGAAAGACATTGGGCTCTCTTTCTAAGAGATTTTTCTCTGAGAGACCTTTTTTAAAAATGAACTCTCTTTTAGATGTGTTCAAGATTATTGCTCTTACCTGTTCTCCAAGTATAAGCTATCCTCATTTCCGAGATATGCCATTATCTTATGTATCTAGAGAAAGAAAAATTAAACTATGATGATATTTTCTTGTCATTTAAATGCTTAAAATTTTATACATATCAAAGAGTTGTTTAAACTTTTTAAGACACAGATATTATTATGTCTTCTAATGGTGGCGCCATGTTTTATAGCCTTGTCCAGATGTCTTTTGGTTCCCCATATTTTCTGAAAAAGCCTGTGATGAATTGGTGGAAGAAATGGAGCACTATGGCCAGTGGTCTGGGGGGAAACATCATGTAAGTTACTGTTTCACACAAAGAGCTAGAATGTGTGTCTGTCTGGGCAAGGTCAAGATAGATATTCAAGTTCAGAAGGGATATATTCTAACTTTTTCCTTGGCCTAACTGAGCGGGCCAGGCCATCAGGAGAATGCTCTTTTCAGTCTGTCTTGAGGAAAGCTGATCCTTTAACACCTAAGAAGTCAGTTATCTGTCTGGGCCCCAGTTTCTCATTTATGCATGTAATTGCAGAGTGTGGTCTGTAAGGGCCAGTGTCCCTGTGCTGGAGTTGCATTAGGTAAGACATGTCTATAATGATTGGTGTCTTCTCTAAGATCACCTTTTATTCCCTGCAGTGAAAATGCTAATGCAAACTTTTTTTTTTTTTGTGGGTAAATATGGAAAAGAGGATTTGTTTTGAATGCCCTCAGTGTAATCCTGCTTTGCATTTATGTTCATGTGTGAATACTTGGCAGTGATTTTTATGGGTGTGGGTTCCATGTGTTTCTTTTCCCCTGAAAACCCTCAGAGGCCAGGGATTGTAATGAAATACTCTGGAATATCACTGCCTCCACCCAGTTAACATCACCCCAGCTACTTACTTGATGAGGGAGAGAAAAGTCTGAAATATTAGGAGGAACTTGAAGTCAGTGTGTTGTGGGATGATGGAAGAAAAATCACTGAAAGATTTGGGATTTCATAAAACGAAAGCAAGGGTCACGGCGGGGAAAACCTGTTTTCCGTAGTTTGTAATCCGGGGGACACATATATGCGGAATGCGTGCCCATCAGGCAGCCAGGACCCCAGAGAGTCATGATACAAAGTCATTTTTTAGGGCCGATTTGAGGCTTTGGAAAGTCTGTTTTAGTAATTGTATAATTAAACCTCCCGTATACATTTAATATGTAGGAAAGGGGTCTACTGACTCTGCAGTAATTTGCTTCATCACCAATACATTTGCAAAGCTGTATTGTCTGAGTACTTTTGACCATTTTATAATTAAAGCAGATGGTACACCACAATTGAGCAACTGTTATTTTTATTGTCTATTATGAGCTGTGTTTATAAAAAAATACCAAGATAATGGTAATGTGAATTACACACGGGCTCCCCTTTATGGTGTGTCAATGCTGTTTCCAGGATAGCCGTATATCTGGTGGTTATGAAAATGTCCCGACTGATGATATCCACATGAAGCAAATTGATCTGGAGAATGTATGGCTTCATTTTATCCGGGAGTTTATTGCACCTGTTACACTGAAGGTCTTTGCAGGCTATTATACAAAGGTAGTTATCCTCCCACTCCTCCTGCATGCTCCCTGCCACATTCTACATGAATAAGCTTTTTTATGTTTTTATTGTTAAACAAATCTCCTGACTGACTTTGCTTTTTTAGGGGTTTGCACTATTGAATTTCGTAGTAAAATACTCCCCGGATAGACAGCGGTCTCTACGTCCCCACCATGATGCTTCAACGTTTACTATCAATATTGCTCTCAATAATGTGGGAGAAGATTTTCAGGCAAGTATGACTCATCTGTTTAGAGTTTTCTAACTAAATATGGTGTTATCAAGAGGGATTTACCTGTTTCTTTTTTAGATTCTGCTAAGATGGCATAATTTGAAATTTTAACGCTGGTTAAAAATTGAAAATAATAAGCAGATACTTTTTTTTTTTTTTTTTTACATTTTAGGGTGGTGGATGCAAATTTCTAAGATATAACTGCTCTATTGAATCACCACGAAAGGGCTGGAGCTTCATGCATCCTGGGAGACTTACCCATTTGCATGAAGGACTTCCTGTTAAAAATGGAACAAGATACATCGCAGTGTCATTTATAGATCCCTAAGTTATTTACTTTTTATTGAATTGAATTTTCTTCTGGAATGGATGACTGGCACGAACACATCTTTGAAGTTGTGCTTGAGAAGATGAGAGGAATATTTAAATAACTTCAACAGAAAAACTTCACTTTGGGCCAAACATTCAAAACACTTTTTGTAAAAAGTTGTTTGATGTTTCTTAATGTCTGCTCTGAGCCTTAAAACACAGGTTGAAGAAGAAAAGAAAGAAAAAAAAGTAAAAGAAAATATTTATTTCTATGCTTTACTGTCTCTGAGAATAATGACAATTTTCTGGATTTGTGTTTCAAGTTGATAAAATATTCAGGTACAAATGTACAAGTAACAAATAAGCCTAATAATGTTTTCTTATTTAAGAGGAGCCTGAGAAGAATTTTATTTATCAACATGTAAGGGAAATGTAGAACGAATGGATATAAATGGAAAGTTTTGAAAACCTGGGTTTTGAAACCTGGGGAAACTGATTCTAACTGAATTTGGGTGCAATTATGTAAGTTCTTTCTTGACCACCTATGCAATAGGTCCTTGCTCTAGTAGTTATGGGATGAAACAAAGAAAATAACAATGTTTTTCTCAAGAAACAGTGGAAACACAACCAAAGAGCAAATCCATTAGAAACATTTTTTTTTTCTAGAGCATTAGATGATTTTACATTTGTATTAGAAATTAAACCCCATATTCCTTCCCATGGACCATCTAAAGTGGGCAATATTAAGTAGACACCAGATCTAAAATCCGTAAGTGTCCTTATGTCAAAACAGAATTTTTGTTAGTTTCATTTTTTTTAATTGTAGAAAATGGTAAAGAAAAAGAAAAAAAAAATTGAGACTAGTCGCATTTTATGATTTTTATAAAACTTTTTAAGTACTTGAATTTTATATCAGGAAAATAAAGTTGGTGAGCCTGGCTTCTTCCCTTTTGCCCTTTGTCTCTCTTCTTAATCTTTTTGGGGAGGGTTATTCATTTTTTTTTCCTTCTAACTGTGATCTCTGTTTTATCCTTTTTAATCTGTGAGTTCTTCTCTACTTTACTCTAACCCCCTTCCAAATTTGTTGACTTCATTTATTACCATTTCTCTGAGTGAGGTGTAAATGTCCTTCTTGTAGCTACTGTTTTTAATTTAAAGGTTAAACTTGAAGTTTTTAATCATGGTGCCAAAATTCATTTTTCTAACACCATGTGTTAGAAAATTTTGAAAAATAAAATTATTTAAAATAAGAATTTGTTGTTTTCTTTATTATTGGTGATTTATCATTAGAAGTGAATAAATGATGGAATAGCCTGAAATAATATCTGGATACAAAGACTGTCGTTTTTTTTTTTTTTTTTCAGTTTGTTTTGTAGCTTTGAAAATATAACATCAAGACTCTATTAGTTGGATTATAAATTAATTGTGAAATCTTGGTCTCGTAAGGACTAGGGATTGGATGTGACTCATTTTACAAGTGAGGAAATAAAGGCCACATGATTGTTCCATATTTAAGTATATATTTGGTGGCGCTTTTGTGTCTCCTGTGGGCTCATTTGTGTTCTATGCACTGAGCACATATATAGGGATCACCTGAATGCTTTTGTTGCTGGGAGATGGACTTGGGAAATCAGCAAGCTGCGATCTATCTCTGTTCTCTTCTTTGGTGTCCCTTAATACCTAAAGTAAATCCCTACCCATCAACAAGGTGAGGAAACATTTAGGTAATGATTTGCATGATAGTTTATGAATTACATAATTGTACTTCCAGGACAGCAAATGATGTGTCATGGACCCCAAGCAGTCACTAGTGACCCTAGAGGCAAAGCAGGTGGAGTTCCTTCAGCACAAGCCCTCACGTCTTTGGGTGCATTTCGAGGAGAGATGCCTACCAGGTGCTTTTCAGGTGGGGTGTGGTGGGTGGCCACCTACTGTAATTATTGTCATATCATGCCCTGTTTCCAGAAATTGGATCAGGGCTGTGGACTGAGCACATTTTTCTATCTTTGCTCTTATCACAGATTCTCTGAAATAATATTAAAAAAGTACTTTTTACAAAAGGAAGATTCATAGTTAGTGAAGGACAATGAGAAAAACTCCTATCAGTAGATCAGAGAATTTGAAAAATAGGAAACTAGTAGGTTTGGAAAGAGAAAACTGCAGCTCTGGAAACAGTAGATGACTCTAGCAGGAATCATTTCTATAGTAGGATTCACTCACTTTGCAGAGTATTAAAAAAGCCTTCCAAAAAAAATTTATATGTATGTAACCCACACTCAGATATCTCTAGGAAAGAATCTTTTCTAGAAAAGAACATACTCTGAATAGTAGTGTGAGATTATAGAGGAGGAAGTAGAATTTATGCTTTTTTCATTTTGTATTTCTATATCATTGAAATTTTTTATTATGGAAATGTGTTTGGGTATTAATTGTTCCATAAAGGAAAAACAGGAAAAAGAAAAGGGGGGAAGTTTCACAATTAAGTTTGAAAAAGTGGAAGTATATGAATGTCATTAGTAATCATTCATTTTTTGGGGGGCTACATGAGCAGAGAGGGCTGTATGTACTCACCATTCTGGCACTTTTCCTAATCGTACCTTTTTTCCCCCTTGGTGCTTAGAATTGAACCCAGGATCTCCACAAAGCCTGCCGTTGAACTTGAACTACACCTCCAGCCCCATTTTCTTGCTAATTCTTTTTTTTTAAATATTTATTTTTTAGGTGTAGATGGACACAACACAATGCCTTTATTTTTATGTGGTGCTGGGGATCCTCGAACCCGGGTCCTGCCTATGCTAGGCGAGCGCTCTACCGCTGAGCCACAATCCCAGCCCCATCTTTCTAATTCTTAATAAAAAGGAATCCACATGAATATTTTTTCCTAGCGTAGATACTCCAGTAATAATCCAGGCTCTTCTCCATTTTGCTTTATCTTTGAAAAACATAGTCATTTATTGGTAATTTACCTAGGAGCTGAATGCCCCCTATGGAATAAAAACACGGGAAGCTCTACATGTGTGAACCCAGCCATCCATCTTAGTGATGACTCTGTATTCCCTCCTCCTGTTTTCCTGCTTCCTTATGCACTTATCAGTTTTCCTGCTACCTTAGTCCTAATTCCCATGTTATATGATATTCGGGGGAACTGCCATTCATCTGGAATATGGAATAATTTATACAGCAGATCTTTTCAAGTTACAGAAAAGTCACATAAAATTTTAAAATTCTATTCACAGTTGAGATTCTGTAAATCCCTCTCTTGGATCCCGTGTTGACTGTTCGGAAAATTAATGTCTTCAAGACTTTGTGAACACTAGCTTTGTCAAATACCAGCTTTCCAGTACTCTTAGAAAACAGCAATTACAGGCTTCTGTTACAATAACTGTTAAGAAAAAAGGCCATTGGGGTGAAAAATAGAAATGTATGAAAGTTTTTAACAAAAGCAATGAATTTTAAAATAAGATGAAGAATAAGTAATGAAGAGAATAGAAAACTATACATGTGGATACATTTTAAAAATGCAAAATACTGTGTAAATTATTTTGACAAAATGAAATAGAATAATTGTAAGGGTGAAAATATAGGCTTAGGATTTGTGGACTTCAAAATCTTAAATTTCCCTGACAACTTTTTATTTTTAAAAATTTAAGGATTGGCTTTAATACATTTATTTCCTTCTTGATAGAATTAGAAAACAGTTATTTCTGAAAGTGGTTTCATTGATGACAGGTGTGAGTAAGGTGGTGATAATATGCATTTATTTGAAAATAATTTGACAGTGATTAGTTTGGCAAGCTGATCTGTCTTCACTGTAAAGTGTTTGGCTAACAATCTGAATGCTAGATTCTTTTCAAAATTAGAAATGGATTTCTTCATACTTCACAATATAAAACACACAAGTAGTCACCTTCAAAATGATTGTAACAATTGAAATGAAAAAGATCATGACATAAACAAAGAAACAGTTTGTTTCAAATCCTCCAAATAAGGAGTAGCTGGCATATTTCCAGTTATTTCTGATGAAATGGCTTGTTTCATGGAAATGTAAGATATGAATGTAAATATTAGATTACAAAACAGAATTAAGGCAACTAGGAAGATCAAAAAAAATTATGTATTGTAATGAATAATGGACTCATGTAATTAATTATCTAATAATTTTAGCAAAATTATTTCTAAAGACATTCCTATTAATACTGGTCTAAAATTTGGTGGCTCTTTTGGGAATGTAATCCCTAAGGACATCACAGGGTGATACATAATTCCATACTTGCTCACTACAGTTTTGTGTTTGACAAAGCTTAATGAGAAATGGACACGTTGAAAGCATTTTTTGCTGCTGATAATTAATGATTAATTAATTAATTAATTAATTCACAATATTGCATATTTGAAAACTTATCTTTTTAAACTAAATTATCTTTTTAAACTAAATTATTTTTATCTGTTTGCATAATTAATGTATTTTATAAATATTGCCAAATTGTGACATCATAGCCCCACCTTGTGGTCAAAATGGATACTAATAGAGTCTAAATTTTAAACAGAATGCAAGATATTTATTTTTTTTTTCAAATCATGCTTTCAAAAATTTTCTTAAAGGGTAATATCTGTAAAAATTATAGAGATTGGATCTTTTTAGAAATTCGTGTATTATCATACATTATTTTAGAAGGAGGAATTGTAACCCCTTGTTCTGAAATAAGCAGTAGCTAGCATATTTCCAGTTAATTCTGATGAAATGGCTTGTTTCATGTAAATGTCAGACACGAACATATCTAATACTGAAATAAATATATAAGTAAGTCTAATTATAACCCCCAAAGCAATTGGTTTGCAGTAGACCAAATATCTTACAAAGTACTAGAGCAACTCCACAGGTTCTATCATAAAAACAATTATTTTTTAATTGCCATGTGTCAGGGGAAAAAAATCACAATCATTTTTTACTTCAGAATCAGCACAGGGCTTGTGATTGCTCCCTGAGGACAAGAATCCTGTGGCAAAAAAAAAAAAAAAAAAATGGGGGGTGATTCAGGTACTGAGTGTTATAATTTCTGTTATTGACTTTTTCAGGATTAGTGAAATGTGTTTCTCCTGATGTTATTGACCATCAGGAAACAGGAACAGGAAGTTCACTAAGGTAGTTCCAGTTTTTGCCAGCTTTTAAAAATTCAAACGTTCAGCACACAGAATTCTCCCTGATCACTCTTCCCTTTCCATGGGGCATCCTGTGCCCTGGCTGCTTGCCTGAATCCTTCTTTTTCATGTTGTCCCAGGTCAGCTTCCCCACTGATCTTCTATAAGCCCAGAGGAGAGGAAATGAAAATTATGTTTTAGTGAAATGATTTGGTGTCAGGAATAGCAAGTGTCCAAACACAGTCCTCCAGGAACCACACCTCCCAAGCTTCCTCCAGTGTCTAGTTCCCTGTGGGCCCCATGGAATTAAATACTGCAATCAAAACGACTCTGTATAACCTCTTCCTTCACTGACCGGAGGCTTCCTGGCTCTGAGTTCTTGGAACACCTCTTGGGCACTCCCTCTGAACCCAGCTGCTGTGGCTGCTATGAGCCCCTGCAGCATGGGAGGGCCACACCCAAGAGTCCAGCCGCTGAAGAGGAGCTCCCACACTAGGGCCTGCCATGTGGATGAAGTAAGTGGATAATGACCTGATCTGACCTTCTGGTGAACATAGTCCCTGTCAACGTCTGCCCACCCTCAAACATGAGACCCCAACGCAAGCCACCCAGCTGAGCCCAGTG